AAAAAAGTAGTAATAACACAATCTAGAAAAACACGATAAGATGATGGTAAATAATAAAATAATAATTTTAATATTAAAGATAATAATACAGTCCCCTGCTACCCCCCCCCCCCACCCCCCCCCCCCCCCAACATGGAGCCCAGGAACCCAAACGGAGAATACCATATTTTTGGTGAGTGTGTGTGGTGTCTGTCTGCGTGTTAGCGTGCGCTTGAGTGTGTATGTGTGTGCGCGCGTGAGCGTCGTGTGTGTGTGAGAGCTTGCGAGTGAAAGCGTATAAGTGTATGCGTATGGATACGAGAGGAAGCCAGTGTGTGTGTGCGCTCACGTGTTGTACGTGTGAGTGTATTGAAGGAGATAATGGGATACACTCAAACCGACCGTCGAGGCCTAGGGCACCGGAAGGTCAATTGGTGGTCAAAGGCCTCAGCCAAAGAGCGCCGAGACATGGTAATACAAACGGTGAGGGACAACGAAAACGAGGTTCGGGTCCAGAAAGCAGCCCAGCAGTCGCAGCAGGGTCATTGGGTCAGCATGGAGAGCGCATTGCCAAGAATACTCACATGGGGTGAGATCTGGCGGATGACCCCGTTGCGACTGAGCTTTATCGTTCGTTCGGCGTACGATGTATTACCGTCCGGTGTTAACATGGTTAAATGGTCTGCGACTCACGATTCGACTTGCCCGTTGTGTAAAGCGAAGCAGACTCTAGAACACGTCCTGTCCGCGTGCAGGAAAGCCCTAGGTCAAGGCCGATATACCTGGCGACACAACAAGGTGCTAAAAGAGTTAGCAGCCGCTGTTGACCAGGCTAGAATGAGGGCTAATGCCAGAGCCAGTTCTACCATCGTCCCCATTCGTTTCCTCAAGGCTGGACAAATTCCAAAAAGTAAGGTCAACCAAAACGCATTCGCTCCATCTGTGCTAGACTCTGCGAGGGACTGGTTACTGGCGGTTGATCTGCCGGGCCATGAAAGGTACCCCAATCAGAAACAGACTGGAAAAACAACACTGGTTATGACTACGGAAAAGATTTTCTGAGGCACTTGAACAGAACAGACCAAGTCACAGTTTTTCGCTTACGCACTGGACACTGCAGACTCAATAAACACTCATATAAATTAGGTATGAGCCAAACAGCTCTCTGCCAGTGTCTTCGTGCTGAACAGACTCCAGAACATGTCCTGCAAGACTGTCCTCTCCTGGCGGAGCTGCGGAGCGACATATGGCAACACCCAGTAGAACTGACAACTAAGCTTTGGGGAAACCTAAGAGACCTTGAAAAGATCCGTAAGACTGGCCTGCGACCTGACATAGTTCTCCACTCTGCGCAAAAACGGTAGCTCATCCTGATTGAACTGACTGTCCCATATAAGTCGCGTATGGAGGAGAATCACATGTATAAGCTCGAGAAATACAGTGATTTAGCAGCCGGTCTGAGGAGAAACGAGGCGTACACAGTACGGGTCTTTGCCGTCGAAGTGGGCGCGAGAGGCATCGTTTCCACTTCGCTCTACAATGTAGTTAAAGAACTAGGATTGCGCGGTAATGAACGGAAACGAACACTTAAAAACTGGGCGAGGCAGCCGAAAGGGCCTCGGGCTGGCTTTGGACACAACGCAACAACGTAGGGGACGGGCCTCGGTGAGCTGGTCCGGGTCTCTAGTGGAAAAGGGTTTCTCATCTTTTGAAAGTCCATCGTGTCCGAATTGTCTGCCGGTGATCCTCTGCCACCTGCTAATAAAGTCCAACATGTGTCCGGTAGACCAATCGTAAGCTTGTCGCTCGGTCGTCCAGGCACGCTGACTGTTCTAATTAGGCTGCCGCGGCGACTTCTCATCTCACAGTACCTTCTGCAAACCACCAAGTCGTCTTGTCTCTAACCGAAAGAAAACACCATCCGGTAATTTCGTGCAGCAGGGTACCAGCCTTGAGCTTCATGAACTCAGGTGGGCCCACCTCCGAAAGCGTCTAGGAACCGTGGGCCGAAACGCTCGTTGACGAGGATAATTTCTACTGACGACTGGTAGATCCCTGCTGTACTTGCTCCCTGTGAGTTTATTCCTATTGTGCGTGACCGTGACCGTCTGAGCGGAATTGATGTACTTCTGAAAACGGACACGCTTCTAAATTGTCGCCTGTCAGCAGGTTTCCATTTTTAGATATCACATGACCTGTCCAACTAAGTACATCACGTGATCTTGTCTGCCAGCTTCATCGTTTCAAATCACAAGCTCCAAACCTTGACGATTTTATTTGAGCAGGAAAATATATGAATCCACTTTTAAAAACGCGAAACCAACGTTCCTTCAAACTAACAACAGTTAATTTATCAACAAGAACCGCGTCTTTATGCATTTATTATAGTTTTCAGTTATAATTATAATTACACATTCCTCGCTGACTGGAATAGTTTTCAGTTGACAATGGCTAAATTGACAGAAAGCCAGAAATATTGCAGATGTGGAAACAATGTTTTCTTGTTCGTGCTGGTAATGGGTTTTGTGTCAGTTACGAGAATCAGTGCGAATACAACAGAGCCTCTCAGATTTGCAGCAAAACCGAATTTTGTTATTTTGATAATGGACGATGTAAGTAAAAACTAATGATTGAAAAATAAATGACTCTAAATACTAAAATAGTATTACTATTCATGTTTTAGAGAATAAATATCGTGAAAAGTGGAAGAAGCAGATGTTATGATTCCAGTTATAGTAGTTCGTTAATAAACATAAACATTAAACAGAATAGATGCATTGAACTTAATTCATTCAATTCTCAGCAACTTAAATAAACAAGCCATAGTAACCTGTCAGTTTTGTTGTTCAGGATGTCAAGAGTGTTAAGTTTTCAGGACAATATTTTGTCTCAGGTTTGGACAGCATTTAAGTAATAATTTATAGCTAGGTCTTTTTTTTTAAACTGCAAAATGACAAAGCCAAAACCTTCGGGAAGGAAAAAGTATTTGCTATATAGTGACGTGAAATATATCAATTTAAAGAGAAATGAATATAGAATACATGTTAACTATTTAAGTATCAGTATTACAACAAAATATTAACTCTTTCAGGCCCTCAGAACACATCATACCTTCATAGGTTCCTACCTAGAGGCCCAATGAGCGTGACATGTGCCAATTATACGTCTCTTTTCACTACCCCTTGGGCCTCTGATGGTAAACCCCCTGGGACTCCAAGAATTGAAAGAAAACTGTTAGATGTGTTCTTAGGGGATAACACATTCTACCAAGCGCCCAGGGTGTATGACTTGCTCCAGTCACATACAAGAGCTATCTGAAATGACAAAACAACTATTAGGTTCCTACAGGAGAACAAGGAGAGGCCACCCCAAACAAGAGCACCTCTATAATCAAGGCACATGCAACAAGCTAACATGTTCTTAAGTCCACCAACACTGTCAACGAGTAAAAAAAAAGGTAAAGTCGTGAGATGTGAACCAGCGTCAGTGCACACGGTTATAAAGTGCTCTGCCACCAGTACGGACAGCTGATTAGAATTGTCCGCCTGTGTCGCCGTTCGCACGTAACTCTGTAGCTACAGCGACGCTACTCCATTTACCCCAGAGTGTCAACTCACGTACCCATTTCCTAGAGCTAGGTGAACCCCGGGAACCATCTGGTTTCAAACACCGACCATGGGCGGCAGTGAGTCACAGCTGGATTTGAAAGCGAGCCTCTTATCGACTGTGCTAACGCGGTCTACGAGTACTGAAACATAATACAACGCCAAGCATGATTTTCTAGTGCGATCAGTCTCTTTGTTATAGACACACACAACCATGAACATGAAATGGTAATCGATGGCTTACTGTCAAGTCTCCTAATGCCTTCCCAATACACACATCGGCAGTAACTCCAGACATGGACAAAACGCCCCAACCAACTGTGTCCCAGAAGCCCGCTATGGGCAGCTCACACCCTACTGTGCAGATACACCTATGTGATGTGCAGTGACAATCCCCTGGCAGTTGTTCTCTAAACGACCCTGCTGCCTTTGAAACTCAAGATAGATGCACCTCTTAGTAAAAACTCCAGACCTTCTGCCTTCTATCCCAGTAACTCATTGAAGTATCGCTGATTAACTTCCTGTCAATCAATCTCTAATACTTCCTCCTATTACAAATACCCGTTGATTAACCTGCAAGGTCCCCCAGCACCTTCCATGCCCTTACAGAAACCTGTCAACCACGTGTCCCATAGCCACAACACTGCCGACCCTGACTACACCTAGCCGACAAAAGTCCATTCTAGACATTATTAAAAGAACTCTCGAAAGTCCAACTCATGATACACCACAATCATCTCAGACAATTCACAGGAATTCCACAGAATAAAACATTGTTAACACACAGTCCATTCAACCACTGGACCCAAACAACATGTCCATACAGACAAACTGAAAGCAACTGACGTGGTCACGGGTTCACGTTCAGCAGCCGGTCACACCTGGGTCTCACAATACCCGTGGACACTGCTGTTACCCGTTAATCTCAAGATACTTTTGCGTGAGCTTTTTTGCACTCGTCTCTGTCATCATCTCATCTGGCGCTTTTAGGACTAGCTTAGGAGATCTGACCTCTGGTACAACTGAACAACAAAGTGAGTTCAGAACACAATAGAAACAACACTCAAGGATGTTAGACACGCATCAAGAATTTTAACATGTAATGTTTTGTACTTGCCTTACTTTTTATTACCTTTTTACTTGATCAGCTTTTTTTACTTAATATAAATTTATGAGAATTACATGCCTTCTATATTCAATTATGTATCAGCTAGTCTTTGTTTGAGACAGTTAATCTGAATACTGTGGATTTTATGACATCACATTACGCTACAAAAGAATTCCAGACACTGCTGATCAAAATAAGTACGATCTGATTTAAAATATTTTGTTCAACTTCATCCTAACCTATATTATCAGTTTTAGGTTTGGCACTTTTTCTATTAATTATAATATCAAGACTATTGTCACTATCTGGCTGAGATTTATCAATGACAGCAGCAGTATGGACAGTTCTAGACCATTTCCTTTATTGTTAGGTCCTAACAGTCACATAAAAATTGTTTCACACTGAATTAAAAAAAAAAAAAAAATGAAAATTAAACATATTGCCTCATCATACTATAATACTTCACTAATTCTACTTTTTTAAAAACATATTCATACAAATTCATTTTCCTATCAAACGATTCAATATTAGAATGAAGCATGGAGCCACATTAGTGACAATCTGTCAAAATGTGATGCATTCAGAAGCCACTAAAGTGGTGATACTTCCGCAAAGTTGAGCACATGTCATCACGGTGCAAACAAGGTGACAAAATAATGAAACATTAAAATGACAGTTTAAAGATGGCTGTCCCACTTTTGATAGGCATCAAAGAGGAGCAGGAATCTGTTCCTTATTTGAAATCCCCCCCTCCCCCTCTTTCCCCCCCAAACAATTTGAAGGGGTGAAATTTATAGAAATTCAACAGCAGCTTATTGTCCAGTATTTCTATGCATGTCTGTGAGCCCATCAGGTGTATGACTGGATACAAAAGTTTCAAAACTGCATAACTTTTGAAACAAGATTGTTCACTCTGGGGTCACTACTCGATGTGCTTGACTCAGATGTAAATAGTCTGTCACAAAAGTCACAGCATTTGGAAACTTCTTACTGCACTCATATTCCCTTCCTAATTGTCCCCCTGCACGCACATCGATCTAGGGCGTTCTGTCCCCATTAATGTGCCTCATTACTTTCATCATTCATGTTCTACTTGCATACATTTTAAAATCATAGTAGTGCCTGAAATATATGTGTAGAAAAATAGTATTTCATATTTTCTTCTGTCACTAACAGATGGGTTGGGGAGACCTTGGAATTTTTGGTGAGCCAAACAAGGAAACGCCCAATCTGGACAAGATGGCTGCTGAAGGAATACTGTTTCCAGATTTTTACTCTGCGAACCCATTGTGTTCACCTTGTAAGTCATTTATTCTTTCATTTGTTGTCCTGGCATGCTGTTATGTCACATATGGCTTGCAGTTTATTTCTCCATTACATTCTATCCTGTACAGTTACAAGTCCAACACTTTTGGTCTTTTCTCATCAACGTTTGTCTTAGTATTTCTCTTGGATGTCCTTTGTTTCATCAATCCCTATATTTTCCCCTTCAGTACCTATTTGATTATTCTCTATTCCTCTGTTCTCAGAATGTGTCCAGTGTAGCACCATCTTCTCTGTCTTATAACCAGTGGTTGCCCATACTTTCTTTTATCTCGTCACCTCCCTTGAATTTATCCCATTTTATTATCATCATTGTCCTCGGGCATTTATAAGTAATTTACTTGGCAAAATTATTTTGCAGATTGGCACACCATTTTGATGTGTTAACTGTGTGATATTATTGTAGATTTATTAATTAACCGTGTCTGTAGCTGGGATTGCAGACACATGTTGTAATTCTGGAAACATGGTTCGATTCCAGCTTCCTGTGTGATTTCCGGGGTCAAATTGTGGGGAAAACAAGAATAGACCCACCGCCTTGACAATAAGCATGATGGAAGGGTCAACTATTGTGGCCCAGAGTGGTGGGCCTGAGAGGCAAGGAACCAAGAGTCAGCAAATAAGCCAGACATGTAAAACGGATGTGCACACAATACTCATATTCTGGAACAAGACTAAAGTCAAGAGGTGAGTGAACACCTGGAACTTCCTGCACCAGTTTACAGCTGGTGAACACCTGGAACTTCCTGCACCAGTTTACAGCCAGTGAACACCTGGAACTTCCTGCACCAGTTTACAGCCGGTGAACACCTGGAACTTCCTGCACCAGTTTACAGCCGGTGAACACCTGGAACTTCCTGCACCAGTTTACAGCCGGTGAACACCTGGAACTTCCTGCACCAGTTTACAGCCAGTGAACACCTGGAACTTCCTGCACCAGTTTACAGCCGGTGAACACCTGGAACTTCCTGTACCAGTTTACAGCCGGTGAACACCTGGAACTTCCTGCACCAGTTTACAGCCGGTGAACACCTGGAACTTCCTGTACCAGTTTACAGCCGGTGAACACCTGGAACTTCCTGTACCAGTTTACAGCCGGTGAACACGAAGAAGAAGATTCCAGCGGCCGGTGAATTCGACAATGGTATGGAGCACAGCCATCCAGAAAACAATGGCAAACTACTGAACACATGATTTTCTGTTGAAACCACAGTCTACCAACAAATGTTGGGGTTTGTTTCCAATGTCCTGTAATTGTCATGCAGCTAACTTTAATATTATTCATTTTGCACACTCAATCAGTAAGTGGCACATCTTAGCTGTTTCTGTTTGTTGTCACCTGTTATTGCAATTTAAATTAAGAACACCAAAATCTGAGAAGACGAAGACAAAGTTTAAATAATATCTTTACGACACCAAGATTACGGTAACAGGTTAATGATCTGTTATTTAATGCCATTGAAGCTTCTTAGGTGCAGATCATAGCACATATGAATTTCTCTGAAGTGCTGCAATTTTATATCTTCTTCTTTGATTGCATGATAAATTACCTAGAAGGATTGTGTCTTTTAAGTAATTTGTCACACACTAAACAAGTGTAAGCACCAGTATATTACATATTTTAAAACTACAGTGTAAAACGACACAACAGTCAATCAATTATGAGATTACTTGCAATGTCCTGATGAAGACATGCAACTAACAGTTTTTTGTAAACATTTCTGGGCAGCTGGAAAATGAGAAAAACAAGCAGGCCAGGTTGCATTTCAAAATGAGATAAATCTACTCCACTAACAAATTCAATACTATTTACACGTAAAATAGCGGAGCATATATAGAAGAGTACATTTTGATTGTCACCAGTGCTACATTTGTGCACAGTGTTGATTTTTACTCTTGTGTGATATCACAGCCTTGCTGTAAAACATGTGCCCCTTTTAATGGTGAAGGCAGAAGAAAAAATAGGATCACGTAAATATGTTATCATAAAAAGACTTTGTAGCAGGCACAAACATATTTGACATAAGGTCATGATAAACTGATACAAGCTCTGCAGCCTAATTTACACATTTATCAGGACATGATTAGTCAGTTAACTTTATCAGCATCAGAAATGGAAGTCTAGAAACGGCAATTAAATGTGTACAAAAGTAAAGTGTAAAACACACTTTTTATCTCATGCAGCAAAACAAAACAAAATGGTAGCTGATAAAACTCATATGGCAACAGAAAAATGAGAAATATTACAGATTTTTTTTTTTTTTTTTCAAATATCAAGTTCCACTGTTAACAGATGATTAAACTATGTTGACAGATGATAAAACTATGTTGACAGATGATTAAACTATGTTGACAATTGATTAAACTATGTTGACAGATGATTAAACTATGTTGACAATTGATTAAACTATGTTGACAGATGATTAAACTATGTTGACAGATGATTAAACTATGTTGACAGATGATTAAACTATGTTAACAGATGATTAAACTATGTTGACAGATGATTAAACTATGTTAACAGATGATTAAACTATGTTGACAGATGATTAAACTATGTTGACAGATGATTAAACTATGTTGACAGATGATTAAACTATGTTAACAGATGATTAAACTATGTTGACAGATGATTAAACTATGTTAACAGATGATTAAACTATGTTGACAGATGATTAAACTATGTTGACAGATGATTAAACTATGTTGACAGATGATTAAACTATGTTGACAGATGATTAAACTATGTTGACAGATGATTAAACTATGTTGACAGATGATTAAACTATGTTAACAGATGATTAAACTATGTTGACAGATGATTAAACTATGTTGACAGATGATTAAACTATGTTGACAGATGATTAAACTATGTTAACAGATGGTTAAACTATGTTAACAGATTATTAAACTATGTTGACAGATGATTAAACTATGTTGACAGATGATTAAACTATGTTGACAGATGATTAAACTATGTTGACAGATGATTAAACTATGTTAACAGATGATTAAACTATGTTGACAGAAATTAAAAGATGAACAACCATTGCACTGCAAAAAATAAACAGTTAACATCTTTTTGGAAAAGAACAGATAAGACATCAGATATCAGAGTGTACTCATACCTGTTTTGTTTTGTTTTTGTGTGGACTTACATTAAACAGATATTAGAAGCACTGAGCAAAATCTGGAACAGTTAATTTAGAATTGTTCAGTCAAATGGATAAACACAGACAGAGTTTGTGGCAACACTGAACAGTTTAAATTATTTGTTGTATAAACGGTTGTAGTTTAAATAAATACCTTTGCAGTGTTTATGGTACAAGAGCTTGCACAAAATTTGATTGATAAGCAGAAGATCAAATGGTTCACTCTAGTCATCACATTAGATAGAATGTAGCTACAACTACCAAGGTGCTACATTTAAAAAGATTTGATGAGAAAGCAAGAGCACACCCAAGGAGAAGATAGACAGATGACATTTGAGCTTTCTAGTGACATTTCACGTTGTTTATCACTTCTTGCAGTTATACCAGGTTGGCATAGCATTAAGGGTGCCCTAATTGTATATTTTGGGAGGTTGATAGGGATGCCTGGGATTTGTCCCGTTGGTCTGCCAGCCAGATCCAGATTTTTGTAATCTTAGGGTTCTCAAACTTTGAGGTAGGAGCACAGAAAAAATACACACACACACATATGCATGCACGCACACACACACACAAAAAGGGGAGGGGCAGAGATAAATTATTATGACAAATACAAGTACACAATCTATTTCCTGTCATTAAAAATAGTCAAAGGATTTCTACTTGGGTCAAGGTTGAAAAAAAAAAGGAAATATTTCGACTGCTGTGCTGACCTGGCCTAAAATAGTTACCAGGAAATGTTACTGGAAGTAAAGGTGATTAGTATATAGTGCATATATGATGATTTATTGGGACAGAATGAGTAAACAGAAACCTTTGTGTCTCTTTAGCTCGTGCAGCTTTAATGACTGGACGTCTGCCCATCAGAAATGGGTTTTATACCACAAATCAGCCTGGAAGGAATGGTAACTCTTAGTTTTTGTTTGTCATCTTCATTGTTTGTGGAACATTGTTTGTATGTGCCCATGGTAACCATTTTTACACATGGTTATTTGTTATTTCTTCTTTTAGCTCAATATGTTATGATCACTCTAAGTTTATATGATGTTTGTTTACATATTTCTGTCTGTATTTAAAAGAAGAAACAAAAAAACAGTTAGTTGTATATCCTTTACAGGATGTTACAAAACCAACGCCAGCATTTTATGACATTTTATTCTGAGTGAATTTACATTAGTATTTTGCCATTGCTATCCGAACGGTCAGCTCTCTGTACCACTTTTGAAACCAATGCAAGACATTCTGCTGTCAGATTGCTTGTAGCTGGGATTGGAACCGGCACCCAAGCACTACGAATCTATCCGTATCTAGCAGTATGTAATAATATTAGTGTGTCTGTGGCTTAGAGGTTATGTGCAGTTTTGCAGTTCTGACATATCAGGATTTAGTCAGCTGCAGTTGATTTGACAGCAGACTGCTGTGCATTGATTGTGACAATGATGTGAATGTGGTGCCACTCAGAAAGTAATAGCAAACTTCTGAATCTAAAGTTGTACTGTAAAACCACACAAAAGCCAGTAAATACCGAATGTGGTTTGCGAGATCATGAAGTGGGTTAGAAACAAACATTTGCTAATATTATGTGCATATGCATGAGAGAAAGAAAGAGACTGATAGACAGAGGGAGAGAGAGAAAGACAGAGGGAGAGAGAGAGAGTAGGAGATAACAGAATGACTGACAGATACAGTAGCTTCTATTAAAAAAATAATAGTATGTTTTCTGTAGCCTACACCCCACAAGAAATTGTTGGAGGCATTCCAGACTCCGAGATACTTCTGCCACAACTGCTTCAGGCTAATGGCTATCGCAACAAGATCATTGGCAAATGGTAACTTTCATTTATATTTAATTAAATATGCAGGAGGCGCTGTAACCGCTGGATATTCGTCTGCTTGGTTCAAGGGTTCAAATCTGCATCAAAGTGGATTTAAAATCAGTTTACTTTTGGCTTCGAAGATGACCCAGTCTAAAATGGGTAATATCCTGGAAAGTAAAGGCTCCTGGAGTGTCCACACCACCCATCCAGTGCTAGTTGATCTGTTGAACTATAGGATAGCACCATATGCCCCATACATGAAAGGGGATCTTTAATTGCTTTACTTATTTCACGCTTCAGAAACATTCTTACAATACCATGGATCAAGAACAAGAAACAAAGACATTCTAAATGATCTGCGTATGTAGGAGGATTGGCTCATAAACAGTATCCTGAAAGCTGAGCTATTTTGGTCATATTAAAGGTCATTGTGTCCTGGAGAAAAAGGTGGATACAAGACATTGAAGATGCATTGGTTGTGAAAGCACATAGGGTTCGAGAATTGGCTCATAAACAGTATCCTGAAAGCTGAGCTATTGTGGTCATATTAAAGGTCATTGTGTCCTGGAGAAAAAGGTGGATACAAGACATTGAAGATGCATTGGTTGTGAAAGCACATAGGGTTCGAGAATTGGCTCATAAACAGTATCCTGAAAGCTGAGCTATTGTGGTCATATTAAAGGTCATTGTGTCCTGGAGAAAAAGGTGGATACAAGACATTGAAGATGCATTGGTTGTGAAAGCACAGAGGGTTGGAGAATTGGCTAGAGAAAGAGAGACTCCCAGGCGTGCTATGATGACAGCGATGTTATAGAAAGAACCTGGTGATTTGATGTGTTGATGTACATAATTTTATTTACATGTTTCAGTGTTTCCATATGTGTTTGTATATGTGTGTGGGGTGTGGGACTTTTTATTGTATATGTGAGTATGTCTGTTTAGATGAGTAGCCTCCTATTTTTGTTCTCCCTGCAGTAGTTTCAGATAAGAAGTTCACAGGCCTCAATGAAGTCTGTAGTGCGACGCATGTCTTCCACTGTTACATACAACTTGGTTTCCATTGGAATGCCAGTCGGCCCAACCTAAGATCTCTCTCTAGAATCCTAACAAGATGCTTATAATTGTGTCTCTACAAGCATGAATGTATGAGTGAGTGATTTTTGGTACATGTGTTAGAGCCTGTGTTTTGGTGCATTCAATTTTATCTTTCAGACTACATTGTGTCTGATAACTGGAAATTTCCTGACAATTATTCATGCACTTCAAATCTTATTGACTTTTTTTTCTGTTTCCGTCAGGCATTTGGGTCATCAGCCTCACTACCACCCACTTAGACATGGGTTTGATGAATGGTTCGGGTCACCAAATTGCCACTTTGGGCCTTATGATAATAAGTTGACTCCCAATATACCAGTGTACAAGGATGCAGATATGGCTGGCAGGTACTTTCTGTTTGTGTCTACTTTATTTTTGGTTTGAAAATAAAAATCTGGCAGCTGAAGCATACTAAATGAGAACAACAGGCTATAAGGCAAGAGGCAGACCAAGAAAGAGATGGGTGGAAAGAGTTAAAACACACTACAGAAATGCATTTTGACATTAACACAAGCTACGCAACTAGTAAAAGACATGAAACTGCATCTAACTCCTCTGTACGACACTTTGAGGCGTAAACAGTAAGGCAAAATAAGAAGAATTAAAATACACAGAGCATGATATACAATTAATGTGAGTGCACTAAGTAAACAAATAGCAACAGAGATAGCCCGGCTCTCTAGTGAAGTTGGTTAAACCTGACATCGCGGTGACCAGGTGACAAACTCCTTGTGGTCTGGGTTCACTCCCAGGGGTAGACAGAAAAGCCACATTGCTCCCAGATTTACGGTACCTATCACGGAATCAAAGCCGAAGGGTTGCGATATCCATAATACTGAGCCAAAGGGTTAAGAACTCATGGTTTCTGGATATTTAAAAAAAAAAAGCAATAGAGATAGACAAACTTAGACCTGAAAAGCAGGTAGATAAAAAAACAAATAGTAAGACATGGATAGAAAGGTAGACAGAAATACAAAGCGAGAGGGGGGGGGGGGGGGAGAGAGAGAGCGAGAAAATGATTTAGCATGTTCCCTGTGTGGGTTCTAGGGACCCCCATTTTAGTGGAAGAAAGAACAGAACCCCCTGACCCCTGAACAGAACCCCCTGACCTCTGAATAGACCTCCTGACCCCTGAACAGACCCCCTAACCCCTAACAGGCATGTTGTAAAAGGTGACTAATCAGGAGTTTGCAGATATTGGATGTGTTGGGTCAAAAAGTGCAGATACTGCAGTCTAGCTGTAAACCACAACAAAACCGCTCTCTTAAGAGAGTATGTGTGCACTTGTAGAGAAAGTCAAAAACAAGTAAGTAAAATAAAATAGGATCATAGACACAAACAGGATGGCTATCGCTATACTACAGTATTAAAGAGGAAAGACTGAAGGAGACTGTCAGATAAGACAGCGCTATGAATAAATTTTTGTGCCCAAAGCCTGTTTCACTGCTAGTTATGTTTAATCAGTTATGAGATAGGCTATCTTCAGGGCACTCCAGACACATCTATAGGTACTCAGTTTCCTCTGTGAACATATTCATTGGCGTCTAAATGCGTTAAAAACGCCCATCCTGTGCTGGTTGACAAGACTTCTTGTACATCCTGTGTGCTTCTCATGTCTGGCTTGGTGATCTTTAGCCCAGTTCTTGAATTCTTAGCAGAAGTTCTAGCACAGCTCTAGCAATCCTCTAATTATCCTATCTGTCTAAGAGCTTTAACAGTGTCAGCCATGCACCAGCCATAAAAAAACTAAGACATAACTAGCCAGTTTGTCATATCTTACAGTATGGGAACACCTGCATGCTGTGGAAAAAAAGATGAAGGTAACTTCAGGCATAGTGGAGTTTTACAGTAACTCAATCCAGTGTCTGTGTACAGAGCCTGTCATGACCTGCCAGATCATGCACTTATAGAATCATTCATGACACACTCAGCAGACACACCTGGGAATAGCACTGATACCACCCACAAGAAATCCACAGTAACTCAATCCACTGTCTGTGTACAGAGCCTGTCATGACCTGCCAGATCATGCTTATGGAATCATTCATGACACACTCAGCAGACACACCCGGGAATAGCACTGATACCAGCCACAAGAAATCCACAGTAACTCAATCCACTGTCTGTGTACAGAGCCTGTCATGACCTGCCAGATCATGCTTATAGAATCATTCATGACACACTCAGCAGACACACCCGGGAATAGCACTGATACCAGCCACAAGAAATCCACAGTAACTCAATCCACTGTCTGTGTACAGAGCCTGTCATGACCTGCCAGATCATGCACTTATAGAATCATTCATGACACACTCAGCATACACACCTGGGAATAGCACTGATACCAGCCACAAGAAATCCACAGTAACTCAATCCACTGTCTGTGTACAGAGCCTGTCGTGACCTGCCAGATCATGCTTATAGAATCATTCATGACACACTCAGCAGACACACCCGGGAATAGCACTGATACCAGCCACAAGAAATCCACAGTAACTCAATCCACTGTCTGTGTACAGAGCCTGTCATGACCTGCCAGATCATGCTTATAGAATCATTCATGACACACTCAGCATACACACCTGGGAATAGCACTGATACCAGCCACAAGAAATCCACAGTAACTCAATCCACTGTCTGTGTACAGAGCCTGTCATGACCTGCCAGATCACCAGCCACAAGCACTTATAGAATCATTCATGACACACATCAGCATACACACCCCGGGAATAGCACTGATACCAGCCACAAGAAATCCACAGTAACTCAAGCCACTGTCTGTGTACTCAATCCACTGTCTGTGTACAGAGCCTGTCGTGACCTGCCAGATCATGCTTATAGAATCATTCATGACACACTCAGCAGACACACCCGGGAATAGCACTGATACCAGCCACAAGAAATCCACAGTAACTCAATCCACTGTCTGTGTACAGAGCCTGTCATGACCTGCCAGATCATGCTTATAGAATCATTCATGACACACTCAGCATACACACCTGGGAATAGCACTGATACCAGCCACAAGAAATCCACAGTAACTCAATCCACTGTCTGTGTACAGAGACTGTCATGACCTGCCAGATCATGCACTTATAGAATCATTCATGACACACTCAGCAGACACACCCGGGAATAGCACTGAAACCAGCCACAAGAAATCCACAGTAACTCAATCCACTGTCTGTGTACAGAGCCTGTCATGACCTGCCAGATCATGCTTATAGAATCATTCATGACACACTCAGCATACACACCTGGGAATAGCACTGAAACCAGCCACAAGAAATCTTGTGCCACCACCTATATCCTGATGCTGTTGACAGTCACAGAGAAGAACAATTCTGCCTGCAGAAAGTTCTGTGAATGCTGCCTGCTCATGTTTATGTCCACTGAGTGCCTTGACTTGAACTCTTTCAGTCCTTGAACCTTTTTCGTAGCATTTACTTGATTCTTTCAGCTTTTTCATAGCAGTTACTTGATTCTTTCAGTCCTTGAACCTTTTTCGTAGCAGTTACTTGATTCTTTCAGTCCCAGGAAACGTATCATACATTCATAAGTTCCTACCTAGAAACCTAGTGAATGTATGATCATTTTTAAGTGCCTTGCTAGCTGGCATAGGCTTTCTTGCATCTTTACAGATTTCAATCTTTGGTGTTCTGGATCAATTCCAATGATGATATTCCTCAAGGCCACTGTCTTGAGCTATCTGCCATCATTTCTCTTAGTCTGCCTCTGCATCTCCTACCAGTGATCTTTCCAGTCATCACAATATTTTCCAGTGCTCCTTTTCTGATCACATGGCCAAAGAACGTTGTCTCCTTTTCACTTTCTCATTGTTGTATATAAAGTTGTACTTTCATTATCCATTTCCAGGCAATCATTGTTAGATATTCTAGCAGTCAAAAGTATTCATAATATTCTTCTCAAGAACTGCATCTCAATTGCCTCCAAAGTCTACTTAATTTGTTTGCTCACTTTCCAAGATTTACTGCCATAAAAAGAACAAGCTCGTTATAACATTTCAGTACTCGTATTTTGAAAATGTATGTAGCCCCAATTTTACACCTCTGTTTACTTCCCCTTGGGCCTCTGATGCTAAACCTCCTGGGACTGAAAGAGTTAAGGAGAGAAATAACCATTATAAAAAACATGAGTACAAAACTTTCAAAGTGACAATAGGAATGCCAGATTTTTTTAGTATTATACAACCAAATGCAAAAAGTAACAGAACATATAGCATAATATTTGGGATTCATGATAATGAGCTAATTACACATGATGCAAAGCTCAGATCCAAAAGAGTGAAACAGAGGTGTTTAAAGGTCAGAGAGTCAGTTTTATTGCACTAGGTTTTGTCTCACAAGGCTCACCTTCTCCCTATAAAGCAGCTGCCTGCCTGCCATTGGTTCTGCAGCAAGAGACTGAACATGTCTGATAAAACCTAGTGCAGTGAGGTCAGTTCTCTCACCTGTTCAAGTCATATCCCAAAAACATTGAATGTAAATCTTACTCTGACCAACATCACCAGTACCGTCTTCCTGTCCAGGTTTTTTGAGGATTATATTATCACACCGAGTGGGGAGTCCAACCTGACCCAGTTGTATATTGAGGTAAACATGTCTATGTACAGATGTTATCATGTCTCTGTACAAATGTTATCATGTCTCTGTACAGATATCATGTGTATGTACAGATGTTATCATGTCTATGTACAAATGTTATGTCTACATATGGATGTTATCATGTCTATGTAAAGATATTATATCTACATACAGATGTTATCATGTCTGTTAACAGATGTTATGTCTACAAACAGATGTTATCATGTCTATGTACAGATTTTAGCATGTCTGTGTACATGTCGCGCGCCCACGTGGGTAAATACACTAATATAGTGAGGGTGTGGGTTTGAACCTTAACAATGCCCACCCACGTGAGAAACTGGACTAATATCTAAGCTATGTTGATCCTAGACAGTCCTGGATAGCCAAGAAAACAGCGTGTGGCTCGTTCCATGAAATGAAAGTTGCTGTACTTGTATCCACAGGAGAAGGAGAAGGGATAGATAGATATCAGGATAAACCCACTGTGATATAATCCAGATACACAGTTAACCCCTCCGACTGTTCTCCTCTCCTTGCATTACTTAAAAGCCCCCATCAAGTGATTTAAATATTTGTTTAGCTGAAGTAAACTAATATGCACAAAGACACTTGAAGCTAAGTACACAATTTACTCAACTATTTTGTAACAACATCCACCATGATTTATTTGAATAAATCGAAATTAAAATGAACTTGTTTAGGCTAGTAGAGTTGAGATGCTGTTGTAATGAAATGATATATTGGAAAGTAACAACCTTTTGACAGTTCTCGGCTTGAGACCCTGTCTATTCTTTTCCAGTTTGTCGTCCTCACTGCTTTCAAGCAGGTCGTTACACTAGACGGTCGGCAAAGAATGGACGCCTACTAGTCCCTGCCCAATGTGGGAACTGTGATAAAGAAACAAGCGCATATCTGTAGTATCTGCTCTAGGTGTACACTAAGCATGCATATTAAAATAACATCAAGCATGTTTATTTAAATAAAACATTTCATCTCTCCCTCATGTTCACATTCACTCCTGTCCAATTTGGAAGGGCTTATGTCTCACATTCCACCCGTTACATTTACTGCCTTCCTCTACACAAGTCTTTGTAATGATAGTCAAGTCTTCTACGTCATATGCCATCTCTCGTACAGACTCAAATGACAATCAGTCAGACAGAAGAAGTTCTGAAATCGATGCTTGGAACAATGGTCGCGCCCAGCATGCTAACAATATTTCTGGGTCGAATCAAATAAGAAATCTCAAGGATTTACTCTCCGGGATTAATCTCCGCATTAGCCTCCCGGGAGTTAAACACATTTCAGTGTGTTAGCTGTATGTAATACAGATTAACATTAACCACACGTGACAAGATTGCCAAAGTTATCTTCACGTTTGTGATTTCAAAAACATGATAGTTCATTAAATTTCAATGGTAACATCAACATTTAAGTTTTACAACATTGAAACACATGTGCACGAAAAACATTCATGACACTATCAAAGAGGATATAAAGCAATGTGACAGTGCCCTAAGAGAATGAAGAAATGTCCGCCTAGGAGTACTACAAAGTGATGAAGACACACACTTGAGTAAAAAGACAGTTAGATCTCTATCATAAATAAAATGAAGGTTTTGAAACTAATTTCGTTCTTACCTGGAAAATGAAACCACAATGCCAAAAGTTCTGTCTCAAGCTTAGGTTAAGCCCAACAGATGGCATGTGCTGGACAGAGTCTCATTTACCAGACCTAGAGTTCACCCCTTTATAACTTTTATCAAGCTCCTCCTACATTACTCCTAAAATCATTCTCATTCAAGGATGTCACAGCTCCTCCCTGTGGGTGTATATTCACTGTCAGTCAGTGACTGTACAACAATTGTTTCAATTCCCACGCTAGGATCTCCTGGTCAATTCATCTGACCAGAGCAAATAGGACAAGTCACACCTCCAGCCTACTTCACCTGCCATCACAATAAAATCAGACGGTGTCAATTCTTCTGTTAACACTTTCTGCTCACCATGTCAATAGTGACCGTCGGACCTGCCCTCGAGTTAGGTAACCTCAGGGGGAATTAAACACAATTAGCCGGAGTTATCTGCTCCTAAAAGTCTGGCTAGGAGATAAATATCTGACACCAACAGATGGTGTGCAAATCTGCAGACAGTAAGTCTAAGCTTGGTCAGTCTTATCTCTGTACCTTAACACTTAACCTCTGGGAAAAGTTTTAGTGTTTGATATCACCCACAGTCCCAAGAGAATTAAATGTTTGATCTGGTCGTCTTACTTAGATTAAGGATGTATCCAAATCCCTATTTTTCTGTATACTTTCAAAATACAAAAAAATTAAAAGTAGGTTGAGGAAAGACATTCTGAAGTCACCGAGCGTATCGTCACAGTACACATGATACAATTCCCCCCCACCCTTCCCTTTACAGCATAAAATGATTCCGATCAGCACAAAGAAACATCTCCTAGACGGCATGTTTATTTCCACCCTATGCTACCAACGCTAGACATGATCTCTCACAGCAAACCTGAATGAAAAATTAGTTACCATAGAAGTGAGATGTCTGAGAAGCTGCATTAGTGACCAGAAGAGATACAATCAGGAATGATGTCAAAAGAGAAACATTTGACACTAAACCAATTCTAAAATACATATAAAGACAGCAAATCAAATGATTTCCCACTTAGAAAAATTGTCTTTGACGCCATACCATACTAGGAAGGCATACATCAAGAAGTAAGAAGCACAAAGTAGACCAAGAACAAGATGGAAAGATAACATCAGCGAAACTCTACAACATGATGTGTGTATATGGTCGAGGCGGCAAGAAAATCTAGAATCATAACCTAATATCTTCTTTGACACCTGAAGCGGTAAAAAAGAGAGTAAGGAAGTCTCAACAATGTGGACTTTTATTCCCTTTCTGCATGTGATACAAATCAACATGTCATCATTAAAAAAAAATATCCAATTGGAAAATAGACACTCACCCTGCTGAACTGTCAGTGATCTTCAAAAACAGTTCAGAACAAACCCACAGCCTTCAGGGTTCAAGGTAGGTAGCTCGGCAGCATTATAGTGAGGATGTGTAGGTGGTAGATTGATTATTTCAGTCCCAAACAATGCGTGATATATAATTACATTTCTGTGAATATCACCCAACTTGTTATATATTCTTTTTGAAAGTAATACTCGGCTATATAATAACTGCTTTAAAAACAAATGAGTATTAGGCTATCCTCTGAATATTGGTCCCAAATTATCGAGGCTGAAAATATACTTAAACAGGGCCTCAGTTACATGTATATTGCGGACTTCCGGCAACTTATGTTGCTCACTTCTGGCGACTACCGCCACCGCCAAAAGTATTCCCACGTCACTACGCGCGGCGTGAAGCGGGGCTAAATTAGATGGCTGGGACTCACAAGCAGCAGCTACCGCATCTCCTGCAGCTTCCTTCATTTTTTTTCTTGTGAGTCCCAGCCATCTAGTTTAGCCCCGCTCCATGCCGCATGTAGCGGCGGGGGAGATACTCTCGGCGGTAGTCGCCGAAAGTCTGCAATATACATGTGACTGAGGCCCTGTTAGGGTATATTTTCGGCCTCGATAATTTGGGACCGTTATTTGGAGGATAGCCTAATACTCATTTGTTTTTAAAGCAGTTATTTATGCATATGATCATTCCCTGTAAAACCTTGTGGTACTTAAAAAGTTAACATCAATAAATAGACTTGAAAGAAAATTTTAAACTTCACAATAAAACAGAATGTGCTCATATGCAGAATCTAGCCTTTAGTGTGAAGACAGAGTATCTGACCTGTTAAGTAAATAGAAATTAGATGTGAAATTGTTGAGTTTGATTAAATTTAATTTTTTTATATCTCTCAGGAAGCCACCAGTTTTATAGAGCAGCAGGCACAGAAAGGGCAGCCATTTTTCCTGTACTGGGCAGTAGATGCCACTCATGAGCCTCTGTACGCTTCAAGGTCGTTCCTGGGAACCTCTCGCAGGGGCCTGTATGTAGTTTTTGAGTTGTTGTTTCATTTCTGTTTGTTCTCTTCTGTCATTGTCTGACACAGGAAGCTCTCGCAGGGGCCTGTATGTAGTTGTTTCATTTCTGTTTGTTCTCTTCTGTCATTGTCTGACACAGGAAGCTCTCGCAGGGGCCTGTATGTAGTTGTTTCATTTCTGTTTGTTCTCTTCTGTCATTGTCTGACACAGGAAGCTCTCGCAGGGGCCTGTATGTAGTTGTTTCATTTCTGTTTGTTCTCTTCTGTCATTGTCTGACACAGGAACCTCTCACAGGGGCCTGTATGTAGTTGTTTCATTTCTGTTTGTTCTCTTCTGTCATTGTCTGACACAGGAAGCTCTCGCAGGGGCCTGTATGTAGTTGTTTCATTTCTGTTTGTTCTCTTCTGTCATTGTCTGACACAGGAAGCTCTCGCAGGGGCCTGTATGTAGTTGTTTCATTTCTGTTTGTTCTCTTCTGTCATTGTCTGACACAGGAAGCTCTCGCAGGGGCCTGTATGTAGTTGTTTCATTTCTGTTTGTTCTCTTCTGTCATTGTCTGACACAGGAACCTCTCGCAGGGGCCTGTATGTGGTTTTTGTTTCATTTCTGTTTTTTGTCTTCTGTCATTGTCTGACACAGGAACCTCTCGCAGGGGCCTGTATGTAGTTGTTGTTTCATTTCTTTTTTTTTTTCCTGTTTTCCTGGGAACCTCCCTCAGGGGTTTGTATGTAGTCGTTTTACTTTTTTGTTGTTCTCTCATTGTCTGACACAGGAACCCCCCTACAGTGGCCTGTATGTAGTTTCATTTCTTCTTGTTCTTTTCCTCTTTACCTTTCCTGGGAACCTTCTACAGGAGCTTGTATGTAGTTGTTGTTTCATTTCTTTTTGACCTCTTCTTCTTTTCTGTCATGTGATCTTCACACAGGGAACTGAATGTAACTATTGCTGTTGTTCGCTGTGTGTGTTTTGGGGCCTCGTTGGGGGGAGGGAAGTGTGCAAGGGATTGGGATAGACCCTGTCCTCCTTACAAACATGTCTTCAAAAGTCGACTGATGGGGGGTAAGTCCTTGGCAGTCAAAGTAAGTCTGCCTGAGAAGTGAACAATCATTTATCTGCATGCAAATCAGCCAGATCTGTAAAATGGATATGCATACAAAACTAAAATTCTGGAACAAGACTAAGAGTGGAGGAACAACCAGAACTTTCTACTGGAGCTTACAGCCAGTGAGTGCAAAGATGAAGAAGTTGCTGTTGTTTTTACATTTCCTTGTGATCTTTTGATTTCAGCTAAGCTGAGTTTAGAATTGACATCTTAACATTTGGGACATTCCCATAAGCACTCTGTCCTCATCTTCAGCAACCAGCACTGAGTTACAGTTCTGATGCAACCAGTACCACTCTCATTGTATGTCCACCTTGCCTTTTCCTCAAGTATTTCCTGTGTGTGCTAATCAATACTTGGTTACCTAAACCTCCTACTGATGCTGAAGAGATTTTATCAAGCAATATATGTTGGCGTCTGTGGCTTAAAGCATTCTGAACGCGCTTCATAGTGCCAGGTTTAATCCCAACTGCAGATGATTTGTCTTGCACTGGTTTAACAGTGGTACTGAGAGCTGATTATTCAGTAAGCAGTGGCAAACTAATGAACATAAAATTTCCCTAGAAAAACCACATCAGCCAATAAATGCCGGGGTTCGTTCTGCAACTTTCTGTAGAGGATATGCAACTAACTTTTTTTCAAAATAGCAATATATAATTTGGCTGAGAAGTGACAGTCCCCTTCCTCCTCACCACTTCTCTAGTATTCAAACTATCTCTCCCTCCTCTGCCTGTCTCTCATTCCTGTCCTCTCTGTACCTTTCTGTTAAAATCTTTTTTCTTTGTCCTCTATCTGACATACCCTCTATTTTTACTTCCTCAGCCTTTTTGTCAATAATTATTCTTTCCCTTCATCCTCCTTCTCTCTGCTATTTTACTTTCAACTGTATATTTCTTCCATGCTTCTTCCTTTTCTCTTAGTCTCTCTTTCTGCCTCTGTGCTCAATCCCCAGTGCTCTCTGCTCCCACCAATTTTCTTCTCTCCTCTCCCTCTAAATTGACCATTACCTCTTTGGCTCTCCCTCTCTTTTTTTTTTAATTTCCTGTCTTTTATATCCCTTGTAGAACTATCCATAAACATTTTAACTTGTCATTCTTCAGCTACGGTGATGCAGTAAGAGAACTAGACCACGGTGTGGGCAGGATCCTCCAGTCATTGCAGAAAACTGGGCTGGCCAACAACACACTCGTGTTTTTTACGTCAGACAATGGAGCTGCAACATACGCCAAGACCAGTGGTCAGTGCACTTGATGAGGGGAGGAGAGCGGTTGTCAATTTGTCAGTAAAGTAAAGTAAAGTGAAGATCCCTTTTTTATGCCTTAGGCACATCGGGCATATGGGAAGAGCACCCCATATTTTTACAGACCAATCACCACTAAGTGGGTAGTGTGGTCAGCATTACGCCGGCGGTCTTTACTTCCCCAAGACAGCCACCCTGGTACCCATTTTAGGCTGGGTCGACCTGTGACATCCCGCATCATGATTACAACCCACGCAGCCATCAGTGGGTTTCGATCGCGGTACGCTGGATTTACGAGTCGGACTCGCAATGCCTAAGCCATGAACGCCTGTCAATTTGTCAGTTTCATCAATATTGCCAGCACCACGATAATCATCCTGGTGGATGTACCATCATTGCTTGGACCATTTTTGTTGTCAGTAATGTCATCCTTATCAGTATCATCTCTGGACTTTTATCACATTTGGCAATGTGGAAGGAGTAAGACTAGAATACTGTTCTGATCCATGATTCTGACAATCATTCGCACATGCTTGCATTTCAAAATTGGTGCCATTTGGCCTTTAACTTAATTGACTTTTTTGCATCTTTGCTGGATTTCTTAATTAATTCTTCTGTGTTCTGAAAAAATCCTCCCCAGATATATAAAGTCCTTCATCTGCTTTAACTGGTGTTAATCAAGTTTGATATTGGTGGCTTTTCTTTTTCTGGAGAATGTCATCACTTCAGTTTTGTCTACGTTGATCTTCATATCATAGTTTTCGCATGACTGGTGGAGTTTATTAATATGTTCTTGTAGTTGCACTGCTGTTGGTGCTATGATCGCTTGGTCATCTGTGGAAAGCAGTTCATTGAGTAATTCTCCGATGTTGTTCCCCCTCGCTGGTGTTATCTGATCTGCAAATTGTGGCCGACGTATGTGATGAACAGTAGTGGCGGTGATAAAATACTGTGTCTCACTCCAGATCTTATGTAGAACTTCTCTCTTTCCTATATTTGTTGTAACTGCTTATCATTATGACCTTCATAACAGATTTTGTCATCATTATTGGTAGTATCATTGTTTTCATCATTATTATCATCATTCACTGTAAAAGTAAGTAAAGGACCTATTTTCACCAGTGACACACTGGGCGTATGATTCTGTTTATATTTTTAATAGACCAATCGGCGCTCAATGGGTTAAAGGTTAAAATCGAGAGAATCGGCTTACATTGCACCAGGTTTTATCCCATGTGGTTCTGTCTCTGTCCGCGGAATGGCTAGCCACTGGCTGAGAGCGCCACACAGAGCACAAACTCCATAGCTCTGGCAGTGATTCCCAGTAAACTCCCCGTGTGGGTTCCGGGGCCCCATTGTGGGGAAAACAAGAATAGACCCACTGCCTCCCCAAAAGCATGTCGTAAGAGTCGACTAATTGGGGAGCTTCCTTTGAAGTCAGAGTGTATCTGCCAGAGAGGCAAGGAACCAACAGTCTGTATTCAAGAGAATGAGATCTGTAAAACTGATGCACACGCAACACTCAGGTTCTGGAGCAGGACTGCAGTTCAGTAGTGGATGAGCAATCAGAACTTTCCGCCAGAGTGTACAGCTGGTGAACGCGAAGAAGAAGAATTCCCAGTAAAAACTGCGCTCTTGAACTGAACGGTGCAGGTGCGAAATAAGCCCAGGACCTTTAGAGCTCGAGGCAAATGGTTTCACTCAATGAGTGATATGGTTAGCATTCTGCCAGCCACCTTTACTTTCCAGGGCCTGGCCTGATACCCATTTTTTACCAAACAACACACCGTATGTGACTGGATATTACAGTCAACCTGAAAACCTCTCACATATATCTGTATCTCAAGTTTAGTCAGGGAAACACATTTATCTCCTAGATTTTGCTATATATTTAGTTCCTAAGGATGTAGTATAAATATAATTTTGTTGTCATTACAGTCACAATCTAAGATAGGCTATGACTTCTGGGACTGAAAGAGTTAAGGTTGGGTGAACTGGGAGCTAAGTTGATTTTGAAAAACAAATTTAAAAAAAAATGACTCATTACGGATTTGAATCAAAGACCTTGAGGTCTGCAGGCCAGCATGTAGCCACTATTGCTACTGTCGTTCCCCTCATTCAACACAGTTATCATAATTGTTATGACTACTTTTATCATAAGGATGACAATAACACTCATCCATATCCTTCACACCAGTGTTCACACTAAATAACCTAACAAGATGTTTTTCCATGATCACAGCCAGCTATTTGTTAAACCAAATTCTTGATGAAACCATTATGCCAGGAATTTTCTACAGGTGGCAGCAATGGCCCATTCTTGTGTGGTAAAGAGACCACTTATGAAGGGGGGTCTCGGGAACCAACTATTGCCTGGTGGCCAGGTACCATCACAGAAGGCCAGGTATGTTGCCACTTTGCTAGTTGAATGGACTTAGTTATTTTTTTTTCCTGTATTTATTGGTCATGAGGGCATAGAGCAGGGGTGGACAACAATTTTTGGTCCATGGGTCAAATTTAGAATTACCAGCCTGGTCGCGGTAGATATAGAAAACTCCATTAAAAACAAAAAATCTGGATTTCCTTGTAATATGATATTTTGTTGTTGTTGGATAATCTAACATTATAATCACTCATTATTCCTGTGGCCAGACACTCACATACACCCACTGAATCCCTTCCAGATACTCCTAAATTTGTCTTTTCAGGCTGGTTATTTGCAGAAATCATATTATTGAGGGAGAGTGACATATTATATAGTAATTTTACACCAGCCTTGCAGCGCAGTAATAATTGCTCTATGGACCAGTAAAAATTGCTTGACGGCCAGTTTAAAAAAAAAGACTGACTTTATTTATAGAGATTTATGTGTGATATTTTCCCCCATTGGCGGTAGTGTTTACCGGGCGAATGCTATAATTAGTTTCAGACCCAGGAGAGCAGTTTGTTCTATGCTGCATTCATTTGTATTGATTGCTCCACTTACTCTCAGTATTTGGGTTTGGGATAACGAATTGATTTTGTTAGAGCGACGAGTAAATTAGTTGTTTTCCTAAAGAATTGGCCCCTGGCAATATTTAAAAAAAATAAAAAATAATAAAAAGTATCGGAGTTTGGAATTAATTTTTGTCAGGTCGCCAGAGTAAAAGGGTTAAATTCACAACAGGATACCATTGAATTATTATCATTGCTGTTGTGAGATATTTTGGTTGTTGTCATTGTACATGTTGCCATAGTTGGTTTTATTATTGATGTTTTAAAAATGATCATCCATTATCATACATTATCATTGTGCCATACATCATCAGTGTGTCATACATCATCATTGTATCATACATCATCATTGAGTCATACATCATCATTGTGTCATAGATTATCATTGTGTCATACATAATCATTGTCTCATACATCATCATTGTGTCATACATCATCATTGTGTCATACATCATCATTATCTCATACATCATCATTGTGTCATACATCATCATTGTGTCATACATCATCATTGTGTCATACATCATCATTGTGTCACACATCATCATTTGTGTCATACATAAAGATACATACTAAAGAATTGGCCCCTGGCAATATTTAAAAAAAATAAAAAATAATAAAAAGTATCGGAGTTTGGAATTAATTTTTGTCAGGTCGCCAGAGTAAAAGGGTTAAATTCACAACAGGATACCATTGAATTATTATCATTGCTGTTGTGAGATATTTTGGTTGTTGTCATTGTACATGTTGCCATAGTTGGTTTTATTATTGATGTTTTAAAAATGATCATCCATTATCATACATTATCATTGTGCCATACATCATCAGTGTGTCATACATCATCATTGTATCATACATCATCATTGAGTCATACATCATCATTGTGTCATAGATTATCATTGTGTCATACATAATCATTGTCTCATACATCATCATTGTGTCATACATCATCATTATCTCATACATCATCATTGTCTCATACATCATCATTGTGTCATACATCATCATTGTCTCATACATCATCATTGTGTCATACATCATCATTGTGTCATACATCATCATTGTGTCATACATCATCATTGTGTCATACATCATCAGTGTGTCATACATCATCATTGTGTCATACATCATCATTGTCTCATACATCATCATTGTGTCATACATCATCATTGTCTCATACATCATCATTGTGTCATACATCATCATTGTGTCATACATCCTAATTGTGTCACACATCATCATTGTGTCATACATCATCATTGTCTCATACATCATCATTGTGTCATACATCATCATTGTGTCACACATTATCATTGTGTCATACATCATCATTGTGTCATACATCCTAATTGTGTCACACATCATCATTGTGTCATACATCATCATTGTCTCATACATCATCATTGTGTCATACATCATCATTGTGTCATACATCATCATTGTGTCATACATCCTAATTGTGTCACACATCATCATTGTGTCATACATCATCATTGTCTCATACATCATCATTGTGTCATACATCATCATTGTGTCATACATCATCATTGTGTCATACATCATCATTGTGTCATACATCATCATTGTGTCATACATCATCATTGTGTCATACATCATCATTGTGTCATACATCATCATTGTGTCATACATCATCATTGTGTCATACATCATCATTGTGTCATACATCATCATTGTGTCATACATCATCATTGTGTCATACATCATCATTGTCTCATACATCATCATTGTGTCACACATCATCATTGTCTCATACATCATCATTGTGTCATACATCATCATTGTGTCATACATCCTAATTGTGTCATACATCATCATTGTGTCATACATCATCATTGTGTCATACACCATCATTGTGTCATACATCATCATTGTGTCATACATCCTAATTGTGTCACACATCATCATTGTGTCATACATCATCATTGTCTCATACATCATCATTGTGTCATACATCATCATTGTGTCATACATCATCATTGTCTCATACATCATCATTGTGTCATACATCATCATTGTGTCATACATCATCATTGTCTCATACATCATCATTGTGTCATACATCATCATTGTGTCATACATCATCATTGTCTCATACATCATCATTGTGTCATACATCATCATTGTGTCATACATCCTAATTGTGTCACACATCATCATTGTGTCATACATCATCATTGTCTCATACATCATCATTGTGTCATACATCATCATTGTGTCACACATCATCATTGTGTCATACATCATCATTGTGTCATACATCATCAGTGTGTCATACATCATCATTGTGTCATACATCATCATTGTGTCATACATCATCATTGTGTCATACATCATCATTGTGTCACACATCATCATTGTGTCATACATCCTTATTGTCCTATAAAGCTGCTCTTGTTGGGTCACCTGTTGCTGACTCTCTGGTCAGTTCCATCCACCTCTGTCAGTCAGATACACTGTAATGATATTTTCATTCACACCAGATTTATAAATTCCCGATTGTTGTAAAGGGCAAATAATTAAGGTCTGTAAAATTGAATGTGTTGGATCAAAAGGTGCAGATATCGCAGCCTGGCTGTAGACCACAACACAATGTGCTAACTGCCCCTTCAAGGGTGAATGCAGAAGAAGAGGAAAAGAATGAGAATTATGAATCTGAAAACAAAAGTAAGTGGTTCAGACTGACAGACAGCCATGTTGAAAACTTATGTTATTGAGTTTTATCAGATAATGGAATACAAATTTTGGTTTACAGGTGTCAAGACAGATTGGGAGTTTGATGGACTTTTTTACCACATTCCTGGATTTTGCAGACATTGAGCCTCCAAGTGACAGAATTCTTGATGGGATTAGCCTGCGTGAGGCTCTTCTTAATAATAGTTTGACAGACAGGTAAATGTGGAGTCAAGTGTTAGTCAGTTGAGTTGCATACCTGCTTTTGAGTGTAAAAGGAGAGAGAGAGAGAGAGAGAGAGAGAGAGAGAGAGAGAGAGAGACAGAGAGAGAGACAGACAGACAGAGAGACAGAGAGAGAGAGAGAGACAGAGAGAGAGAGAGAGAGAGAGAGAGTGAGAGAGACAGACAGATAGAGAGAGAGAGAGAGAGCGACATAGATAATGAAGTTGTGGGTTTCTTTTCACATTTCAAATATCCAGTTCATGGGTGCTGTTATTTCAGTTACCTGTGGGAGTCATTGCTGGAGTTAAGAGTTTCTTCTTGGTGTGAGCCTTTGCCAGGTGCCAAATGGTTTTTCAGAGACAGAGACCGTAGATGTGTTAGTTAAAGATCATGTAGCAAAGCTGATTCTGTTCACCTTTAATCACCATCAGCCATCTTTAAACAAACCTAGTTTTGGCAGTAACATCCTGAGAACAAAAAGTTGTGGAAACACAAACTGGTCCTTATGGTAGAAACACAAACTGGTCCTTATGGTAGAAACACAAACTGGACCTTATGGTAGAAACACAAACTGGACCTTATGGTAGAAACACAAACTGGACCTTATGGTATTGAGGAAATGGTACACCAGGAAGTCGTCTGGCTGATCACATTTGCAAGACATCAGAGCCTCTCATGGCAGTGGTGAAATGTCACAAGCTAGCTTGGTTTGGGCACGTGGTGAGACATGATTTGATCACAGAGACTGTACTTTAAGGAACATTGGAGGGTTTTCTAAAAAAGAGGAGGACAAAGAAGAACCTGGATTGACAACATCAAGAAATGGACAGGACTAAGTTATCATATAGTTACTCATCAAGCGGAAGATGGAGAAAGATGGTTGGTTTTTGTATGCTAGTGCCTCCATCGATACATCTCCGTGACTGTCACAGACCTCTGGGTGACCTTGCTGGTCCGTGGCTCGTAGATGGGCCTATGACAGACAGACCAACCTTTAACACACACTGAACCCGAACGCACACAGAGCACACACGACAATCTTTATTGGAAGTACAGGTAATACATAGACAGTTGACTTTCCGCTGTGTGGTCACCTATTGCCTGGACCCTCTGGCTGAACGGGCTTTACAATCGCCTCGTCCCCCAGTACGTGCTACAGGCAATCTCCTGGTGTACAAACCACAGCCCGGCGAGATACGTTCTTTTCTATCGCCACGCTGACCCAATCAAACTGTCACAGCCTCTGTCTAGCACAGGGTCAGAGTGCCAAGGCTAGCCACTCTCTCACAGCACATGTACATAAATACTCTACACAAGAACTATCCTATCCTAACAGAACACTGTACATAAACTATCCAGTCACTAACAGAAATATCCTAACTCTAATACTATAACTGTCTTCCTAAACGTCCTCTCTTCCTGACGCACACCGAATGTCTTGTGTCTTGACCCCGTTCACCAGCTCAGTCCCAAAAGCGGTCATCGTGCTGTCGACTTGTCTCTAACAGCGTTCACTCTTTCTTGCCGTGGGCAAACGCTTTATCCTGAGCGCTGGTTTCGCCGTGCAATAACGGTGGGACTTGACCCATCACGGCCCTGACCTTTGTGTCAACCCTGGGGTGTCACCTCAACACGCACACCTTACGTTGTGGTACATTCCGCCACTGACTGTACTCACAGGGTTGTGACAGTGACCCTAACGGGTTAAGGGTTATGTCATGTTGTGTTATGATCTAGCTGATGTTCCACATTCAGAGGAAATACAAGATGGGCATATAATTAAACTGCTACTTGTACCATGAGAATAGGTATCATCTGCTGGCGGCTGAAGGTGAGAATGGAGTGCATACAGGAATGTTTTGAGTGCTTTGATGTCGTTTATTAACTGAACTTATCCTGACTGATGCCTGATTACTAAGATGCATGTATGCAATTTTTGCAGGCCAGTGTTCTACTATCGTGGTGATCTACTGATGGCCATCAGAGTGGGTCAGTACAAGGCACACCTGTGGACCTGGAGCAACAGCTGGTCTGAGTTTCAGAACGTAAGTCAGATGTTTGTTCAACCTGTTTGTCACAGCTTCTGCAGATTTATGTGTTATCTTTACTTAGCAGGTCCCTGTCAGAACTAGCTGAGTGGCTAGAACACAGAACTTTCAAGCAGGCCACTCAGGTTTGATTCCTTGGTAAGATAAGGGCATTTTTATTCTGTTGGCGGTAAAAATACAAATCCCAGCCTGCATAGTACGTGGTGACTGCACTAACCACATGGTCTTAACCTCTCAGGCTCAAGACTGCTTGTCCTAAACCACCCTAAAAATGGGTACATACAGAAGTAAAGAGTTTTTAACATTCCACTCCCCTGCTGCCCTGCTGATTAGAATCTATGCCCTGTGGTAGTTACCTTGACTCATGTATTCCCATACTCAAGGTTTCTCTAGAATCCTATGACCACTGTCGTCGTGGTCAAGCCTGCCTATTTTTTCAGGTACCATGTCTTCCGTTATTGTTATTTCTTCTTCTTTCTTCTTTGTTCATCTGAAGATGTGCTGTGTCCATTTACAACATCCCTGTGACATTTGTACTTTTGAGCAGTCAATATGCAATTTCTTCAGACATTTTATTGCCAGCTTGGCCTACAAAGTTGCTCTTTCTAAATCACTGCAACATTTGATGGGCTGACAGTATTTCAGTTTCTAGGAGATTTTATATAATGTTGTTATTTTTCTTCTCCCTCATATATGGTAAATAAAAGAATTGTTCTGTAACATTTAGTTTCAAAAGACCAGGTGTTTTTAATTATTTTGAAAGGGTCCTCGGTTACCAGAGGGTGGCAGCGTATTTTCACAATTTGATTTTATTGTTGTGTTTTGCGTGGAAAGAGGGGGGGGGGGGGGGGGGGGGGGTTGCAAGTGGAGTGTACATAGTTCTTAAGCCTAAAGCACAGCTAAAACAGATGAAGCCTTCTATACATTTCTTGAAACAGTCTTATGATGAATCTTTGGACTCATGCAGACTGGAAATGTTGAGAAGAAACAGTGAAATTCTTAATCTGTTGAAATCACCATTGGTCACTGGTATCATGAGCACTAATGGATTAAAATGAATAGGATATGTGGAGAGAATAGCAGAAGACAGAGATGTAAAAACTGTGCATAAGGTAGTTGAATAACTGTAGACCATGAATGAGACCAAGAAGATGGTGGAGAGATAATATAAAAGCAGACCTACAAACACTTGGAGTTCTCCAACTGGAAAAAGAGGACCAAATACAGAATAAATGAACAAACTTTATTTCATAAGGGTCACAAATTGGGCACACAGGCCCATCTTATATTTGGCCCTTTCAAGCATTTATCTTTCATACTGCAGTTGTATTTTATATATCAAGCATATTATGTACACATATCAAAACTCATAGAATGAATACATGTAAAGTAAAAATACAAAGGTATGGAGGACAAATGTATGCTTTCAAGTATACATGCACAAATACTCACACATCACTGACTCACAAACACACTCAACGACCTTGCACACACAAGGAGGTGCATACATTGATGACAAACACACATTCACACATGCAAGCACACAGACAAAAAAGCACACACAGTCACAACATGTATATACACACACACACACACACAATATACACACAGAAAACACACACCAGTACAACATACACAGGACACAACACATACACAATAAATAGACACAGACACAGTATATACATACACACTCACACACAGCACAACATCACAGACACAACATAAAGACATACACACACACATACGTACACAAACAAACATACACCTAGACACAGATAAGTACACACACACTCACACAGGTCTAACAGTAATGTAGTAAATGTCTAGAAACTGCAGCAGATGATAAAAGACCAAATAATCTAGTGTAGAATCAGAGCAGACCAGCAAGATTAAAATGCATCTTTACTTCAGGCAGAAAAACACATCTTTAACAGAATCACAAAATAAGTTACACTTCAGGGTAGAAAAAACACACACATCTTTAACAGAATCACAAAATAAGTTCCACTTCAGGGTAGAAAAAAACAAGCCAGTAACAACTACAGGACTACATCAAAGGTTGAGTTAGACATTTCTTTTAACAAGTACTTTTGAAAAAAAAAAAAGGAAATTGCTCGCTTTTAAAGATATTGATGATGAAGAGAACAGTGACACGTAAATACAAATAAACTTGCTAATCACCTCCTGCTCCCCAGGGATCTGGAGTCAATTTCTGCCCGGGTCAGGAGATTGTTGGAGTGACCACTCATGACCAAGTCAACCACACATCCAGTCCACTGTTGTTTGACCTGGGAGCAGATCCAGGTGAAAAGTATGTCATCAGGTGAGTTGGCATGATGTTTTTTTTTTGTTTTGTTGGCCCGTTATTCATGTCCTTCTTTGCTCACCCTCAAATGGGCATTTGTTTTGCAGCGGTAATTTACAGTGCACATTTTTTTTAACCAGGGTAAACACACAAAATTAAAATCAAAATACTTTTGTCTACACAAATCTAGATCTTCTTCTTCTTCTTTTCATTCGCTGTGCCAGTAGTTTTCGGATGAGAAGGCTACAAGCCTTTATGAAGTCTGTGGCGCAAAAGCATGTCTTCCTCATTTCCACAGAGCTTGGTTTCCAATGCAATGCCAACTGGCCATAATTGGGATCTATCTTCTGGATGAGAATAGTTATTAGCAGCTGCTTCAGCAAACTGAAGCAACCTACTGTTGTTTGGTGTATAAAGCGGAAGCAGATGCTATCAACATGGTTATAAAGTTATTAAAATGGGCAGTTAGATTTGAGTTTGGTGTATATCAGTTAAAATGTCAGGCAATAAATTGTGTAATCTGTTCTTTGTTTTTCTTTGTAAAGATTTACAAGGGAGAAGTTTGCTTTGATTCTTTAAACATGTTGTCTTTGTTAAGATTTACAAAGACAGTACTTTGATTTTTTTTTTTTATGTTTTGATACTGTTTGACTGACATGTTTGACTTCAGTTCTGCACATTTATTTAATAAATAAACATTTGTGAATGTGAATGTGTCTAGACCACAGTCGGCGGTGTATAAACAACAGATGCCGCTAATTTTGGCAACTTTGCAGAACCATCTGGACCACCTGAAACCTGGAGATCCACAGCTGAACATGTGTGATTCTGCTGTCATGGTACGTCTTTGAAGGCCTCTCTTACAATGTTTACCCCATGTTTGTTTTTTGGCCATTGTTATTTTATAAAGTGCCAACTGTGTTTATAAATGTATGTTGATTTAACTATATGTTCCCAAACATCACAACAAGTGTGACTAACTATTGTCTGTCTGCATCAGACCACTCATGATTTGTTTTATCATTAATGTTTGACCTAACAGAGCTAAGAAATCTGGCTTGATAGTCCAACATGCAGCACAGTTTTTTGTTTGTTTTCAAGTCTGTATATCTGTGACTAAGGTGTTGCAAACGTGCTTTTTAATACTGAGGTGCTAGGTTTGATCCCTGCTGTAGGTGATGGGGCAGCAGACCACCTTGTGTTGGCTTGGACATTGATATCAAGAGTCAAATGCTCAGAAGGCAGTGGCAAACTGTTGAATTTAAAACTGCCTAGAAAAATTACAAACAGCCACACAAAAATTGCTGGGGTTGGTTCTGCAACCTCCTGTAAAGAATGCACAACTAACTGTGTGTTTTATGTCTGTTACCAATATGGAAGAAACAACTAACTAACAGTGTGTTTTATGTCTGTTACCAATATGGAAGAAACAACTAACTAACAGTGTGTTTTATGTCTGTTACCAATATGGAAGAAACAACTAACTAACAGTGTGTTTTATGTCTGTTACCAATATGGAAGAAACAACTAACTAACAGTGTGTTTTATGTCTGTTACCAATATGGAAGAAACAACTAACTAACAGTGTGTTTTATGTCTGTTACCAATATGGAAGAAACAACTAACAGTGTGTTTTATGTCTGTTACCAATATGGAAGAAACAACTAATCTGGTTTTTTTTTTTTAATGGTTATTGTTTACCTTGGGTATCTGCTGCAAACTTCTAAGACTGAAAGATTTAACTGATCATCAGTTTGTAATGAATCCATGTCAGGTTTATATTTATCATTTAAGTTTAATACTTTTAATAATCTAGTTAATAATTTATATACACCTAAAACCACCTTGTTCAGGAATGATCAGAACTACAGCAAATGAGAAGAAGGAAAAATAAAATGAAGCAGAACTAACAATTCTGCAATTTTATGTTGGAATAAATATAATTGGATTGTTCTGTTTTATATTTTTTCTTTCAGAACTGGGCCCCTCAAGGCTGTGAAAAATTAGGACGCTGCCTTCCTGTTCCCCCCTCCAGTCCTTACAAATGTGACTGGCCTCACTGATTATTCATTCCTTTAAAGCAAGTTTATTTTATTAGCGTCTTTGTATTTTACTTTCTTCTTTGTCGTGTACTAGCAAATCATAGCCATCTTACCTCACTTACATGCTAGTCATAGTCATCCTTCATCAGACACCAGCCAATCATAGTCATCTTATACCAGACACCAGCCAATCATAGTCATCTTAGACCAGACACCAGCCAGTCAGAGTCATCTTATAGCAGACACCAGCCAATCATAGTCATCTTATACCAGACACCAGCCAATCATAGTCATCTTATACCAGACACCAGCCAATCATAGTCATCTTATACCAGACACCAGCCAATCATAGTCATCTTATACCAGACACCAGCCAATCATAGTAATCTTATACCAGACACCAGCCAATCATAGTCATCGTATACCAGACACCAGCCAATCATAGCCATCTTATACCAGACACCAGCCAATCATAGCCATCTTAGTGTGACAGTACTAATTACAGTCACGTTTATTACAAGAAGGAAATAGAAGGAAAGAAACACACTGAGGAATAAGGAGGTATAGAGTCGCTTGAGATAAAGAAAGTCGTTATATAGTATAACAACCCTGAGGGCATTGACTCAAGAGTTGACAAAGACGTGGGTGCATGCCAAGCTTGTTCATGAACTGTTGTAGGCCAATATACTCGTAAATTAACAGAGGCAGGGCAAGGAACAAAGGCAACGACACAAGATTTCCTGGGGATTTTCCATCCAAATATGCAAAGTGGCTTGGAATACCATCTTTGGCGGGAAAGAGAAAGGTTCATGAACCTTAGAAGACACAGTTTCATGAACTCAGATACACTACCAGCGAGTAGCCAGGGAGACTTGCACTGAGATCTCCGCCAACGAAGGATGCTGTGGGCATTCGGATGATGTCGATACGATGGAGCTAAGTCCATACTTCTGTTCTGTGACTTGCCAGATAATGCACGAAATATTGCTTCATGTTATGTGACATGGCAGTTTCTGTCATGGTGTGCCGGGTTGGCTATAGTTAGATGGTATCTAGACTGCAATCAGCAGTATGGCTAGATGGTAGTCGGTATTTGGCTATAGTTAGATGGTATCTAGACTGAAATCAGCAGTACGGCTAGATGGTAGTTGGTATTTGGCTATAGGTTTGCTGGTCTTTGGACTGCAATCAGCAGTACGTTTAGATGGTAGTCGGTATTTGGCATTAGAGTAGATGGCTAGATTGTAGTTGTTATTTGGCTTATTATTTGTAGAGCAATGAAGGATATTCTAGGCGTCATTTGCTAGTTTATCGTTGAGTGGATTCTGCTGTCAGTTGCTAAGTTTTATAGTGTGAGGACGTTCTGTTTATAACATAATATAACATCTGTCGGTTGTGTAACATGAGATAGACGACTTTGTAATGCTGTTTCTTAATAAACATGATTGTTAGTTGTTATTCTTTTATTCCATCGTTATTTTGTTGAGTATAGGAGTGGTGCTATTATTGTTAGTCTCTGTAGTCTTTATACCACCACCACTTTACTATATATCTACTCTCTCCTTCATAAGACCTCCACTGACTATTACCTGATCGTTTGGGGTGTAGACTTTTTACTACACTCTCCACACAGGAGAACCTATTGTCCTCTTATACATCCTTTAACTATTATTTCTTCTCGTCTGTCTCTCTCTACTTTTATATCTTCTCTCCTTCTTCTATCCCCTCTTTAAAATGTACACCCAACTGTGACATTAGACCAGACACCAGCCAGTCATAGTAATCTTTACCATACATCTGCCAGTCATAAGCATTTTGTGCCAGACATTAGCCAGTCATAAACATTTTATACCAGGCAGCAGTCAGTCATACCCATCCTATGCCAGATGGGTCATTCAAAGTCATTTCATTGCAGACACCAGCTAATGCTTTTCATCTGATACCAGCCATCAGCCAATCTTAGCTCTCTTACAATAAGCACCAGTCAATCATAGCTGTCGGTGCCAGGCAGCCGCCAGTTATATCTATCTGTCACCAGGCAACAGCCAGTCATAAGCAACTTTACCAGGTGACAGTCACTCATAAACAGCTTTGCTAGGCAACAGTCAGTCGTGACTATTTTATACCAGGAATGGACCAGTCATAGTTATCTTACAAAATACAGAGATTGTAGATCTTTGCTGTCTGGTGGCAAGTTCTCTACAGGTTAAGGATCATAATATCTTTTAATGAGACCATTTCTGGCCAGCGTGTGTTACTTTAAGCATACCTATAAAGCAAGCAAAGAAAAGTAATAGTGAGATTTGCCATGCATGTCAAAGGAGGCAACTAAGGAAGGTTAGAGCGAGACTGGCTAGTTCTTCTTTAAAGAAAATTTCAACTCAAAAATCTGACCAATCATGAACAGTTCTGCAAAAAGCTTGAGGTTACTGGAGTTCTTTCCTTCACTGGGAGCTAAGAAAAAGAGGAGAAGAAGAAGAAAAAAGAAGAAAAACCACTGTGATTTTTAGGGACTGTTAGGTTTTTTAAAATTCAACAAGCCAAATGTTAATTAAATTAAGTTTCATTTAGCCCTAACACAAATCTAAAAACGAACTCCAAATCTGATGTAGTTTATCTGCAAACTTGTCTGAAAGTTTATTCATTATGTATAGCAATCACAAAAAAACTTTTTTTTCAGTGTTGCCTTTAAAAGGACAGTAGGCATGTTGTGTTGTGGTTTACAGCTAGGCTGCAAGGTTTGCAGCTTTCGGTCCAATTTCAGCACCTTTGACAACATGTTTACTAGGGGCAATGAGTCTATTCTTTCTTATCTTCAAAATGGAGCCCCAGAAAGATTATTTTTGATTTTAAAATATGTATATTTATGTGTATGTATGTGTATATATATATCTGAATTGATAGCACTGACATATATTCTATGTTTCTTTGTGTTTTTAACAGTATGTACAATCAACTTCAGCTGGTTAACCTTGAAGCAGATCACTATGGACACCATATCATGGGCAAGGTTATTTTTGCACTTAATGCCAAGGTTACAATGCAGTTAAAAGGTCTACTATTTACCATTATCATCAGTATTGCATTCCGTATTATAAAATATGACATCATAACCCTAAAGACAGCAGCAGTGACCTACAACACATTGATCAAAGCACAATCTGTAGATTGAAAACGCAAAATGCACCACTTGACAAACTCTTCTATCCAGGGCCGTAATTAGGCATTTTTTTCTATGAACTCCCGGTTCTGCCTGCATTATTTTATTGTTTCTGGGATGAAAGGATTAGAAGCAAAAAAAGATCAGCTTTATTCCACGGGGTTTTTATATCACTTGGCTATTTCTATAGAGTGGTAAGTTACTTGCCAAGTGTGTCACACAAATGACAAACTCCTCGGCTTCAGCAACAACTTTACATATCTTTAACAGCATTGTACTTCTAAACTAAATGCTGTAGCCCCCAAAAAATCCCAAAGTGTGAGACAAACAGTTTGACAAACTCCTGTTGTAGACCACAACTACCCTTTAAACCATCGACACACTTTATAGAGACACAGGCCAACAAAAGAACACTGTATGGAGACACAGGCAAACAAAAGAACACTGTATGGAGACACAGGCCAACAAAAGAACACTGTATGGAGACACAGGCCAACAAAAGAACACTGTATGGAGACACAGGTCAACAAAAGAACACTGTATGGAGACACAGGCCAACAAAAGAACACTGTATGGAGACACAGGCCAACAAAAGAACACTGTATGGAGACACAGGCCAACAAAAGAACACTGTATGGAGACACAGGCCAACAAAAGAACACTGTATAGAGACACAGGTCAACAAAAGAACACTGTATGGAGACACAGGCCAACAAAAGAACACTGTATGGAGACACAGGCCAACAAAAGAACACTGCATGGTGACACAGATAGAACATTTTATGGAGACACAGGTCAACAAAAGAACACTGTATGGAGACACAAGTCAACAAAAGAACACTGTATGGAGACATAAGCCAACAAAAGAACATTGTATGGAGACCTAGGCCAACAAAAGAACACTGTATGGAGACACAGGCCCACAAAAGAACACTGTATGGAGACACAGGCCAACAAAAGAACACTTTATGGAGACACAGGCCAACAATAGAACACCGTATGGAGACACAGGCCAACAATAGAACACCATATGGAGACACAGGCCAAAAAAAAAAACCACTTTATGGAGGCACAGGACTACAAAAGGAACACGTTAGTTATTTTGTTGGTACACAAGTGAAAGGCATGAGAAATTATGACTCTGGAAATTTAAAAAAAACGGTTTTTTATTGTTATTTGACATGTCATACAGCTGTAGGTTTCTCTAAAGGCTTAGTCCTATCATCTAAAGATAATTGCTAAACACTTATTTTTACTTAAATTCAGGAAGGTAACAGGTCACCTCGTACCATAAACCATGACATATATTACATAATATACATTACTACACAAAATATGATCATATCTGCAGAAACTGTTTTTCCCTATGTTTTAATACTGTCTGCTGTTTGCATGTATTTTTTCTAATAATGTGACTATGAAACAACAGAATAATAAATTGTCTCATTTAGTTCCTGTTGCTTTTATATTAAAGTCATTATTGTTCTCAAATAAGTGTAACTGTTTTCTCAGCAAAATTAAGGGGATAAAAATAAACTGGTATAAAATCGAATGAGGCAGTCTATAATATATCGCTGGCACCTTCCTCTCTTTCCAGATCAGGGCTATGGCAAAACCAAAAATGTTTTCCTTGAGCCCCCTCCCCCAGCCACTAAAACATTGAGGGGATTGTGGGGAGGGGCGGGGGCGGAACGCCTGTTGGTTGAGCTGTTCCAGATGTTCCTTTTATACTTAGTTGTAGAGGGGCTTGGAAGTCACAGTACGTGGCAATGGCCAGTGTGACTAGTAAGATGAGCTCATGTTAAGAAACTTTAGAGGATGGGATTGATCCTCCTATCCATAGCAAAAACCTGGGCAGTTT